ATTTTAAAAAATTAAATTAAATTATAAAAAAAATGATCTTAATATTTCTTTAGATATTATTTTATAAACTTGCAAATTTTCAAATAAAATTTTTCAAATTATTAACATTTTCTAGTAAAAAATTCAAAAAAACTGTTAATCACAAAATATATTGTTGGTTAAAAAAGTTCTATCGGGGATGATGTGTGTGCAATTTACGAATCTTGTTCTTTTCTCAGCAATTAAAGTTCACATTGCATATTTTAAAACGAGGAACTTATATTTCTAATTAATTTTGCAACCTAATTCGTTTTTAATTTATCTAGAAATCTAAATGTCAGCTACATGGAAATAAATCGCGAATCTTACGATGGTCTCGATAAATTAAAACTAAATTTTAAGTAGATTAATCAAAAATTTTTTGAGCAAACAACAGATTAACATGAAAATGCATGTGCAGTTAACACTTTCTTTCACAAAACCCCTTCTTTTCTTTTCATTATTCAGAAGATCGTAAATCTATTTGTCACATAAACCCAATAGATTTTAACTATATCCCCAAATATGTTTTGTACTTATTGACATAAATTGTATATACCTGCTTCGACATTATATTTAACAGGAAATTTCTCACTGATATATTTCAGTAATAAGGAAGTAACATAATATATTTGCAACGGGGATAATATCACCTGAAGTTACAAACATACCATAAAATAAAGTCTTATTTTTGTACTTTTAACTTGCTAGTCATTGCTAGACATAATGGCTATTAGGAATAAAATATTATTTACCGGATGCTGTTTTAGTCTTTCGTCGCATAAAATAACAATTCTATAGCAATTCTCGAAAGATTAAGAAGAATTAAAGTTATAAAATGAGACTATTTGAAGAATGCTATAATAAAAGATTAATGAGTTCTTTGACAAAAGTATATAAAGAAGAATAAATTCTTCTAAGTAATTATATTTATAATTTTTATTATGAAATTATTATTACAAAATAAATAAATTTAATAAAAATTTTGAATGAAATTTTGTTAATTCATATAATTTTATTTCTATTTTTTATTAGATAATTTTTTATTTTTGAAAAAATTATAATTCTTCTTCTTCAATAATGAAATTTTATATATAGTTTCTTACTTTTCAAATTCTCATTATCTTTATTGCAAAAAATGTCATTATATTATTTAATAAATATATGATTTAATTTATTATCTATTATATTTAAAATTTAATTTAACAATAAGAATAGCTAAATTTTATTGTAATTATTTTATTTTAAATTATTAAAAATGAAAATATATATTATGTTGCAAAATTAATGATATTAATATAAATTAAGATTTAATTCTAATTAAATAGAGATAATCTTTACTAAATATCGAATAATTTTTTCAAATTTACTTTAATCATTAAATTTTAATGTCTGAATCATATTTAATAAATATTTTTTTATTTCAAATTGATTCATATTTATTTAAAAAATTAAATACTATTCATAATTTTGTTATATTTTCATTCTTTAATAATCAATAAATTTGTTAGCATATGTATTTTGCTTAAAATAAACTTTGATATAAAAGGAAATATATTTTTTTATTGTAAAAATAAAATAAAAGAAATAGAATAAATGAAATTGTTGCTTTAATTTAAAAGTGTATTTCTTATCCGAATTTTACATTGTTTATTACTATAATTTTCTGAATATCTAAGAAACATACTTTCTATTAGAATCTTTCCAAATTTTTTTAATTAATATATCATTAAATAATATATAGATATAGAATTAAATTATTTTTTAAATAAAAATAATAAAGTAATATGACCTTTGAAATGCTAACAAAATTATATTTTTTTATTTTTGAAATATTTATAAAGATGTTATATTATGATTTTTATATATATTTTAGAAAATAATCCATTATATAAACAAGAATAGCGTTTAATATTATTTTAAAATATTTGAATCGGTGTATTTAATAAATTTGCATTTTTTTTGAAATTACAAAATAGTAGTGATAATATAATAATAAATAATAAAACAATGATCAATACATCATTTGATGAATAAAACATATACTTATCTGTATAAATTATATTATTGCTTAATTCAACATTTAGACAACATTTGAATAAAAATAATGGTAAAATAATTATTATGTTGATGAATTCAATATGTATATACACTATATAATATATTTATGCTTTCATTAAAGACAATTATTTTAATCTAATGATATATAAACTAAGAAAAATAAAATAATATATTATTCGTTTTTTATTCGATAATTAATAAATTGGATGAATGCATTTTTTTCCGATTTTAATTGTTATTATTTATTTTCTTTTATATTTTATATACAAAAAAAAATACATGATGATACTGTATAAACTAATTTTTATATTCATAATGTGGATATAGAATTTCCTAAAAGAAAGAAATTACTAAGAAAAGAAAATTAAGAAATTTAGGTAGTTGAACAAAATGACAAAAGGGTGCAATAATTCTTAAAAACCGTTATTCAGGTAGATCGACTACCTATATAAGTGCGAACTGTTAGAAATATTTGACATTTTCACTGTAAACACGAATCAGAGAGTTACTTAGTTGTGATCGTTCCATTGCAGTGTGCATTTTTATACAGAAGAAAGTGAAGTTTTAGTTTTTGCTAAACTTTTTAAAACAGTGAGTGCATTAATAATAATTCAATTTTTGATAAAATTACATACAGAATTATTTTATTTTATTTTATCATAATAAAATATTATTATAATATTA